GGCCCGCCTTCCCTCCTGGTGGTTTCTCTTCTCTTCACCACCTCCTGCCCTTTGAAGTCTCACTCAGAGACAGAATATGGCCCTGGCGCCGTCTGTGTTTCCTGAGGATTCGGAGCTGCGCCTGCCATCCCCGTTGGTGGGAGCTGCCGAGCCACGTGACGTTTGTCCTACATTTGTTGCTGACTTCGTTTACCAGAAAGTTCAGGTCAGCATGACCTCTTTCCCAGTCATTTCCCCTGCCTCACTTCATCAGGCCCTGGCTGCGAAGAACTGAGTAACTCCCCAGGGTTTTCAGGTTTCCCTGCAGGCGTCACAGAACCGCCTGTCCTCGGTGTGCTAAAGGTGGTGTCTGTGTTAACACAAGTAAGCTCAGAGCAGAGGCAGTGTGCATTGTCTGGAAAAAGTCAGCGCCACTGCATTTGTTCACCTGGCATACGAGGAAGGGGAAACCGTCGTAACCAGAGTGAGAGCTCAATCTGAGCACGCTAAGACATACCGAGGAGTCTCCAGAAGGCCGTTGCCGCCGAGCACGGGCCCACAGTGTCTATGGACGACGTGACGACATCGCAGCCCCAAGGTCTGCGCTGCTTCCAGTGTCCACTACAAAGCATTCCGTCGGGCATCTGTCCGGCGTGCAGAGTGTAAACGAGGGGGCAGTTTTCCCCTCCGCAGCTGTATTTCAGCATTTTCATTCCTGTCTGTCCTTGCTTATGTCTCGTTTGAACAGCAAATAAATAATAAAATTCAGGTTGTCCTTGCACGTGTCCAGTCACCGTCAAAAACCATGGACCCCGAGTCCCGCTGACTGCTTCCTGGGGCTGCCCACCCTGAGCCCTGAGCCGCGAGCCCGCCGCCACCAGGCGCCAGGGTGGCATCCCGGCTGGTGAGGGCAGGGGCGTCACACCCCGTAGCTCGCTGCCCACCTGCCCACGCCTCAGCCATGCCCCCTGCTGCCCTGCTCCGGCGGCCGCTGGAGAAACACCGTGTGGGCCTGGGGGTGTGAAAATGGAAGCAAAACAGGAGCAGGTAAACGCCCTTCTGGCTCGGAGGACAGAGAGTAGTCACCAAAACCCCACCCCCAGATGCGGTGGTTCCAAGACGACTGTCCAGCCAGTCTGGGGGACTTCGCAGAGGAGGGGACCCACGCACTGCGTCACAGAAGCTTGTCAGTGGTCAGAGGAGATGGCGGTGCGGTGTAAGCCCGAAGGGTAGCTGGGCCCTCGCTGGCGGCGCCGCGGGTTGAAGCTCCCCACAGCCCCTGCAGCGCAAGTTCGATTCCCAGCCAGGGGTCGACCGACCCGGCGCGGCAGACCTCTCCCGACTGCCCCCTCAGCGCTGTATCTCAGTCACCTGCCCGTGCCGCTCCCCGCTCCGCCTCTGGCGAGTCCTCTCACCTACCACCCCTCTGGCCTGTGCCCGGCTCTTGTGAAAGAAGAACTGTAGCTGAGCGATGCGCTGGGACCTGGAGCACATGTACAAAGGCTCCTCCACGCGCAGGTAAGCACCTGGGTTCAGCACCGGCCATGCGGTCGGCCCGCTGGGTGGCAGTTAGCAAAGTCAGCCTCCCCTTCAGTGCTAAGGAAGCATAAGAAGTCATTTGGTTTTACTAAGACTTTCTGTATCAGTGTACCATGAAAGGGGCACGTTCTAGAAATGATTCCGGCACTGCAAAACAAGTAGCATTGTGTAGGACAAGTGCCTGACTCACTCAGTTGTCTGATCCTTGCGTGCAGTTCTCTTAAAGGGGGCGAGTAGAAAAGGTGACTTTTTAACTCTGGATTTGGTACTATATGTGATGTGTGTTTCTATTTCGATCATGTGCTGAAGGATGGCCCACAGTTAATTACATAAGAGTGTTATGTGTTCTTGAAAAGTTCATCTGAAGTTTCCACCAGCTTTTAAGTCAAGACTTAAGTTTCCCAAAGGAGTGCATTTTATCTAGCACATGCTTAGAACACCGACTCTTGGCTGGAGACGAACACTCACATACTTTCTTTGCCACTGAACACCGACTCTGTAGTACTCTCGTGACGGGTTTCGTGTGGATTTACAAACTGATGTGGAAACTGCAAGGTCAGTAGAATATTTGGTATCATTGAGAGCCAGTGTACAGGACATGAGTTTTGCTTTAAATGCAATTCCATCATGCTTTGGGGTCCTCAAGTCTTCTCATGTTCTGTTTACCCATGGGACAGCCTTTCTGTACCTGTCCAAGTTGTAAATGCATAACAGTCAGTACTTCATGGACATATGTTCTGAACGCCAGCTGGGTCTTTGGGTTGCTTGTCTATGATTTGAGTACCAAAGGCAGCAGGATTTCAAGGTACCTTTCTCCTGGCTGGTCCCTTAAAGCCTCAGAAGGTAAGCTCCGGCTTCCTTACTAAGATCGTGACTGACCCTGGTACACCTTGCACTGCTGTCTTGCCATTCTGACTCACATTGTTTCTACCATATGCTTTTTTTCTTGATTGTTCCTGCCCCCCCACCTACAAATCCCTTGCTAAGCACAGCTCCCTGAGAACCACCACCGCCTGACCTCTGGTTGCCAGAGAAGGCCCCAGAGGAGAGGCGAGCCAGGGGACAATGTGCCAACGGTCCTAGAAGCCAAGGGAAGGACAAGAGACCCTGTTGCAGATTCATCCGAAGACTGACAAGTGGGTGCAAGGTGTGGCATTCAGGAAGTCACCAGTGGCCAGAGGGTAAGAAGGAAGGCACACAAGGAACTTCAGACTTTGGCTGCTTCCTCTTACCTCCCGTGAGGCTGTGAGGACAGCTGCCTTTGCCTTGAGGGCCAGAAAGGACCCAGCACAGAATCGCAGCACCGAAAGGCTGGCGCTTCTCTTTTTAATTTCTCTCCCTGGGCGCCAGCCGCTATTTGTCTCCTCCGTATTGGAGTGGCTTACAGATATACCCAACCTCTTTGCCAAAGCCCACTCCAAATGCTCATAAAGTTTCTCTAGCCGAACAGTGAGGACTCCTGGAACCAGACTCCCCACCAAAGGGGCCCTCAAAGCCCTCAGGAAATGCTTGTGGAATGTTCTTGAAGTTATAGCAGCAAACGTATGGGATGACCTTGTTAAACTTTTAAATGAGGTACATAGTTTAAAGAGTCAAGTGGAGCCTCGAAGCTGGATGTGATTAAGCATAACTCTCTCGTCCCCCACACCCCACGGCAGTTCTAGGCTCCCTAAAGTTTTCTTTGGGTGTTTAACATTTCCTTAGTTAAAGTCACTACTTTGTTTCTTAGTTCTTCGGCTTAGACGCCCACCCCACAGCCTTTGGCAGAGACGTGAGGACGCTGACCGACCCTCTCACTGCCTGGTCCATTTTAGCCTCGTCAGTATCCGGTGCTCAAGTGGTCCTGCCCACGTGCGTGCCACTCAGTGCCATGCCAGTAATGCACTAAAATCCTTTTCTTGTTGCACGTTTTGTGTCTTCCAAATGCTTTTCTCTGTACCAGAGGCTTTTGTGGTCTGTGTCCCTTTTCACACGGCCCACACTCCCTCCCCAGAGGCATACAAATGCCCTTGCACTGCACACAAGTATTTCGTCACTCTGCATGCTCGAACACTCTGATCCCACAGCTTGCAGCACCTCTGGTCTGGACTGGCATCTCCCCTCACAGCCATCCTTCTGGAATCTTCCTCTGCCTGTCTTTGGGGTTGGATCAGCTGCTTTCATAGGCAAAGTCATCCTCTTTGCTGGCTTGCTCTCCCTGCTTAATAGAAATCAAACGTTGGTACT